ACTACGATTAGTTTCACGTGATGATGACATATTCTGGTGTGCGTCTCTGTGAGCCCAAAGCACAACGATGGCAGAATGAAGACACTCGATCTAAGACACAACTCAGCTTCTGTTGTTTGCAACTGGATTGGCTTTATGAGGTCTGATCTTGGGCAGATCCAGGCTGTTTGCAAAGTGTGTAACAGTAAAGTATAGACAACACACAGCAACACTACAAACTTGTTTAATCACCTGAAACACTGCCATAAACCAGAATACGAGGAAAGCCAGATAATGTAGGCTGAGGCCACAAAGTCAGCTACAACAAACTCTCCTCCAGTGAATGATGGAAACAAATCTACTCAGCTGAGAATCCACAGTGCTCTCAGTCCATCTGTTCCCTACGAACAGCAAAGTAAAAACTGACAGGAGAAAACRTGGGCTGGTTATGTTACTAAAGATATGATATCACTAGGGCTGTCACAAATGATTAATTTTATAATAGATTAATCACCGATTATTTTTTCGATTAGTCGACTAATCAGATCATACGTTAATTGAATATAAAACATACAGCTTATCGCGCCAGAATGCAGCTGCTATTATATAACCATCATTAGATTTTAGCTATATGCTAACTAAAAATAATTGCTGTGGAAGGCAAGTTCTGCTCTRCAGATATTGCACAGGTTTCTCTTTCATTTTCTTAAAATGATCCCACACTTTTGAGCTCCGTTGCTGGTTAGCCATGATACYAGAGCCTGTCTGTATAATGTCTTGTGACGTCCACAGCCTACCCCAGTTACCACTACTGTGCATGCGTGTCAAGGACAGAAAGGCAGATGTGGCAGTGGAAGGTGTCAAAGCAGTTTRGAGAGAAAAACAAAGTAAAGAACAAAAAATAAAAGAAAATGATTAATCGATTATTTTAATAATCGATTAGTCGTTGACTAATCGACTAATCGTGGCAGCCCTAGATACCACTCCACACACATTCACAGCTTACTATTTAACCTGTTAAATGAGGAAGTTAGACTGACTGATAAATTGTTAGCATAATTTCAGAACAGAAGGTAATTAGTATAAAAAACATGCAAGTGCAATTCTCATCTATTAATCCTCATTTTAATAGTTCTCAGCTAAATGTCCCAATTAATCCTCATTAATTTTTTTTGCAAATATCGCCCAACCTTAGACAGAGTAGGCAAAGTACCTCAAAACATATTTTACACAATAAAGACTGATTACACCAAGTACTGAGATTTCTTTAAGTGGTTGACACATCTCAGTGGAATCTTCTCTGGCTTACTAAAACAAATATTTTATGGTTTTGTGACTGAGGCGTTCAGGGAATCGGGTCAAATCTCTCAGCTTTAAAAAAATTAAAAAAAATAAAACTAACTGAGCTGGAGGAATAAACAAAGAGATGAAATAAACTTTTCAGTGGCAGGATGTGCTGTGAATGTTGACTGGTGGGTGGATGCATTATCCTGCATCGTGTTCTGTCCCTAACACCAAAACAGAGTGGGAGTAGAGACCCCCTCTGCTGAGCACACTTTATTGGTAAAGATCTGCAGTGTGCCTTGCTAATAGCAGTTTCAAAGACCAAAATATTTGGAGATTTACTGTCTGATGTCTAAACAAAGCATTTTTATCGACTGCAAGGAAGCAGCATATCTGAACTGAATGCTCAATTAAACTCCTCACTGGGGTTCAGAATGAATACCAAATCGTGTTTTGTCACAAGTTTAGAACTTTACACAAAACATTCTTGATTTTTAGAGATATTCGTACATCTGGTGCTCAAGCTTTGCTGACACGTGGAGATCAAAATGTTCCAAAACTGCAGAAACGTTAAGTTCCTCTCAAACAAACAAAGAGGAAAAAAAGTCAATTATTGGAACAGCTTTAACATCAGCTTGTCCCCCCTACAGAAACTGTTCACACGAAAACATCCCGACGCACAGTTCAGCTGGTCTACAACAACAGAAAACCAGTTCTGACAGGTTGTGGATGATTTCAGCCAGCGAGGCCGTGCGAGCTGAGGGGCCCAGTTTATCTGCCTTAAATTAAGTGTGTCCGTCCTCACAGAGACAATGTTAGGCCGGGGTTTCCCAGGGTTGGTAAAGCTCCCAGCCTCAGAGGCTGAGGAGAGATAGAGCTCTGTTAGGAGATGAAGAACCCAGCTGCAGCCTGGCAGGAAAAAGAAGAGCTATATGGAAGAGGACTGGTGTGTGCATGTGGATGGAAAAGAAATGTAAAACCAAAACTGTCAGGAGGATGTTTTAAATCTTACTTTTGCCAGAAACTCATAGGAGTCATAGAAGTAGTGACAGTGACGTGAATAAAATGTTTTCCAAAACAGAAAATACAAAAGCAGCACTGACAGCCGACTGCAAGCCTGTCCTTATTTACCTTTGTGCTAAAATCACAGTTATTGTGCTTCACTGTTTCAGTCCATAAGACCCCCAGAGAAAACCACCTGCTTGTGTTTACACCAACAAGCAGCTGCTCTCTGAAATATCTCACCTGATCCAGCCTCATGCAGTTTTCCTGCCACACATACACACAGGGGCATAAAGGCGTATGAATGACGTCCTGTTTTGATGCTGCGCCTCGTTGGTAACGCCCAGGTAAACGAACTGGGAGAGTTTGTTTGACTGTCTTGGAGATGGATGGAAAAATCTGACAAAGAACAAAGAGCTTGGAAGTTGGAGGCTTCTGCTTGGTGGATGTGAGCACACACCTGTGCACCAAAATCAAGATGCGCGCAAGCAGGACATGACCAACGGCATCACAATATGATTGGTGTGTAATTACAGAAAAGTTTCGTTGATTCCTAAAGCAGTGTTTCCCAAAGTTGGGGTCGGGACCCCACATCAAGGTGGGGTCCTGAAAAGATTTTTGGAATTTATTACATTTTTGCCTTAGCTGTTACAAAGGAGTGAGGTTAGTGT